AAATATGTAACGGTGGGGACCAAGGGTCTACATTGAAAATCTGGGATTTCTGATCTGTCTGGGAGTTTGAAAATGCACAACGTAAATGAAGAAATATTAAAACATTTTCATTATTATAGGTCACTGATCAAATTTGGGACATTGACCATGTTTTAACTTCTTTGTAAAGGTCAGATGTTTTAATGGATCATCAGGTTTTGCAGAAACTTGTGGAGTCCCTGACATTTTCTTCACAAAATGTTCAATTTCAGATTAGATCATTAGCAGCATAATAATTTGTCGATTTGAAAAGAATGCAAAATAGAAGCATTTTTGACTTTCAGATCACACTGTGCTGTACATACCCAATTAGATGATTAATTACATAGACTTTATGGTTTTGATTGTGGAATTAGCGAAAATAAATAACATATTGCCATTTGAGACATGTTTATGTGCCTAGATTTGATTTTAGCATTCATGCATGATCAGCAACACCATAAAGCTTTGCTGCCTGCTTCTGATGTTAGTATACTTCATCATAACACCTCCTGTTCCATAACACCATCATCACCCATCACAGCAGGCCTGCATTTTATCAAATCGTTGCATTTGATTTGATTTGATTGAAACAGAAAAGCAGGGCTATATAATACTTACAGATTAATCAAAAATATTAAAAAAGACCCTTTTAAAAACACTCTGGCTGAAGAAATATATTAAACACCAGATCCAGAGATGGTTGTAAATAACCGTTGGCTATAAATCTCATCTAAAGATCAATGAGTATGTAATTTTCCAGATGTGTTAATCCTGATCTGGATATGTTTTAATCTTGAGGATTAGATGTTTAGGACAATAATAAACTCGAATGGATTACATTCTTCACAGTCAGTGGTGGCTTTTGAAAGGTTTTGCTGATTAAGGATGAAATCTGCTATGTTCTCAGAGAAATAGCACTAACATAACACACTGCAGAAAATTCAGTCCGCCAGTGAGGTAAGAAAAAATAAAGAAAGTAAAACCATTTTTTTCAGCAAGGACATGTTAAATTAATCAAAAGTGACAGAAAATTCAAATAAATGCTGTTCTTTCTGAAAAAAAAACGGTTGTTTTACCGTTTCTATAAACGGCACAACTGTTGTCAACATTGATAATAAAAATAAATGTTTCTTGTGCAACAAATCAGCAAATTAGTATAATTTCTGAAGCATCATGAGAGACTGAAGACTGACAAAAATACTAATTAATGAATTTTGAAGTGTGTACACACAAAAACAATAACTCTCACATTTAAATGCAATTGTCACTCTTAAAAAACTGCATTGTGTATGTGGCCATGTTGTGGTTACATTCAGAGAGAGGAAGAAGGCCTTGAACAAAGAGAAGGAGAGATAGAAAGGTACTAGTGGTATCTCTAGAGATACAGAGAGGCAGGAACAGAGATTCTGTGAGACAATTAAAAATGCATACGACACCAGGGACAAGTGTCTGATGAATTTAGTTTTAAACAGTGCATAATCAACATCTGGCATGCAAGCACTAACAAACAATGTAAACAGAAAGAACAAGAGGTAAGAAAGAGACACAGACTGTCAAATACTTCTAAATGTTTGTTCAAATGGGTGCCCGCATCATAGACAAGAATCTCAAATTAATGATTTAGCCGCCCGCAGACCACTCAAATCCAGATCAACCTGCTACTCAAAACAAAAACTACAGTTAGGCACCTTCGCTTTCTCAGAATAAGCTGAGCCTGTCTGGCCTGCTGACTCAGCATTGTCCCTTTTCTAGTAAATTCTCTCTTAAGTGATCTCATTTATATTTTATATATACAACAGATGGAATCAACAGATTCCATCTGTTGGTTAAATTAGATTTTAGTAATCAAAAAGCATCTCTAATTAATTAAAATCATGAAACCTAAACAATTTAACATCAATTTATTAAAAGTTTAACAAATATTACATGTTTAGGGCCCTATGAAATGTTTTATTTTTCCAACCTTATGTTTTATTGTTACCAAATTCTGTTTTAGCATGTCTAATTATATGAAAGCATTCAAGTTTCATTTAGTCTTACAATAGCCTTATGATTTTTTGCTCAGAAATTCTATGTTGTGTATTTAAATTTTTTTTAAGGCATAAAACATTCATTTAATCTATCTTTTAAGCAATGAAAATTAAACAAATGTAATTTTTTGGATTTTTAAAAAATTTAATATTACAATTAAAACATTGAAGAAATATTGTATGCTTATTCCTTAAAAATAAGGTTTTAATCATTTTAGTAGTAGTAGTAGCAGCCTGTTACGTACATTCTACTCAACAATAGTAATATATTTCTGCCAATGCCCTCAAGTTAAACCGAACGTTTATTTTGACGGGTTGCCGTGAATACCATTACATTTCTGTGTGTATGACATGATGATAGTTTTACTCAAATGAAACGGTCAAATGCTCATGAAGTGACTCTCAGAGCAGTTCTGGAGATGTTGTTCATGTATTTATGTCCTCATTAGTGAGATGGCAGACGTTAATATCACTGGAAGCGTTTCAGTACGAGTACTACACAAAACTGCGTGCCTCCGCCATTCATTAACACAGAGACACGCAGAATTCATATTTAAATATGAATCGTTTTGCAGCTTAATATTTACAAATACTAGTGGGAGTGGGCTCCCTTGTGCATGATACAGAGAGTGCGACCATAACGTAGAGACTGAAATGACATGCCGTCGTGTAAATAAGATAAATAACATAAGGCTATTTTGTTTGCTTAATGAAAGAACAAGGTATATACCTGTTCTATAGGAAAGATAACTTTAAATGACTTCTGTTGTGATCTGGCGCTATAGAGAAAATATAATTAAATAAAATTAACTTGACCTTCAAGGGGGGCGGGGGGTGCGGGCCGCTCCCCTAATATAATGGCAGGGGAAACACTGCTAATCAATAGAACTCATAAAACTTTATTTAATAAAATAATTTTAATTGAATATATATATATATATATATTTTTACAATAATATGTCCTTTATTCATTCATTCAGTCATTCAGAAATTCTGTGATTTCATTGTTAAATTGTTGTGGATTTATGATTTAATACAATTTTATTGTCAAAAATGGTGGTGATAAAGGTATAAAACAATCAAATAAAATTTAAAAAAAAAAATTGGCAAACATAGTGCTGCACAACAGAGGTTCACTGTTAAATATTCTTATAAATTCCTTAGAAATAAAGATTTAATAATTTTAGTACTAATAATATTATTATCACTTTAAGAAGTACACTCTTCTACAACAATAATATATTTGTCACAATTTCTTCAAGTTATACCAATTGTTTATTTTAACGGGTTGTCGTGAGGACCTTTGAGTTTCTGTGTATATTCATATTTAAACAGCTAGTCTTTTGTGCTTTACTATTCAAAGACACCAGCTCATATTGCATTTGATTAACTGTGCAGTCCTACTTTTGATTTATTTTATTTCAAACTTCCCAATTTGCCTGATGGGAATTTGGTACTTTTGGATCTGAATGACGGTACTGTTGGAATTTTTGGAAGATTTGCAAGGGTCTCATCATTGGTGACCAAGTTACAGGAAATACTCAGACAATAGCAGAAAGTGCCATTCAGTGTTTCATGTATCAGTAAATGATGGAGAAACTTTTGAGAAAAATTTTAAATGGCAAGTTTATAAATTAAATCCAAATGGGACTAACAAAAAAATTAAGTAATTAATTTGCACTCTTTATATGAGTTAATTATAACCAAAGCTAAAGGTGTATCAAATATAGAATTACACAGAACAGAATGTTATAATACAAAATTAGGCAAACCCATTAACTGTGTTAAACTTATTTAAATCAATTTCTTATAAATACAGTGAAATCAACCCTTAAATTGCATGAATTCAAAATTCCTCAATCTTCTAAGGATTTATAAACTATTGAACACCTCTAAAAGTTCATACATACTCTGGCTAGATTCTGTCATATTCTACTCATATACTCTCTGGTGTCTATTTAAACTACTAATAGTTTTCTATTTAAACTATTAAAATATATGCCTGCTAAATCCACAATTTATGTATGAACACCTACAAATATTAATGAGATGCTACTCTCTCTCTCTGTCTGTCTCTCTCCAGATGTCATCGTCTGGTTTCCATCCTCTGGTCCAGATGGATGCCTACTCTCTCTTCCTGCTCAGCCTCACTTCGCCACAGACAACATGTCGAGAGATGAGTCACACACTTATACTCACAGAAGACAGCATGAGATGCTAAAAAAGTCAAATAAAGTGACATGCTAGCCTTTATTTCCATGGTTACATCGATTCGGTTGTGCTTACTCATAGTGACACTATGAAAGGTGTGCGTGCAAGTTATATGAGAGGCTCAACTTCAAGGTTCGGTGCTCTAACATCCTGACTTTATGACGCCACCTGTCTCTTATGCAGTCGAGTAGGTTCCATCGGAACACTGTGGGGACATGCCTCAAAATATTAATATTAATATTAATGTTGATATATGCTTGCAAGTGAGCATGTCAAACCATACATCAATGGAAAGCTTATTTATTCTGCTTTCAGATGATGTATACATCTCAATTTAGAAAAGTTGACCCTTATGACTGGTTTTGTGTTCCAGCAAATATGTGTATGTGTATACAAATACAATATGGGAATTGTAGAGTTTAATGACTATTTGACTGTACTTAGAATACCCAAAGATCTGTTGAACTATATATCAAAGTTTGTTAATCTTAATAATGAAAGTTTTAATTAAGTGATTCCTATTTTTTTAATAGCTTTTGAACTATTTGAATGTAAGATCTACTGTAAGTTCTATTGAAATGACATGCATTTCCAGTAGACATCATATATTGGAAAGCATATACAGTATATATATATATATATATATATATATATATATATATATATATATATATATATGTGTGTGTGTGTGTGTGTGTGTGTGTGTGTGTGTGTATAGTAAATGCTGCAAAAACTTACCTGCTATACTCAGGTAAATGGAAGGGCTGGTTTTGTTTTCCCCATTACGTTCGTTAACGGCCTGTACATAATACCGACCCGCGTCTGCTGCCGCCGTCCCCAAAACCACAAGCTGATTGTCCAATGTTATTGCTCTGAAACCAAAAGAGAAACACACAAAACACTTGTAAGAATGGTCAACAAGACTGTCCACTTATGATTTAATTTCCTTTCTAATCTCAGGGTGACCTGTTCCAAATCGATTGGCTTATTTGTAAAATTGTGCGAGGTAAAGTACTAATAAAAGCACATTAGCATTTTATTATTTTAGTTCTGGATGGTCTCATCCGCGAGAGGGCAACGTGATAATTACTCCTTTCAGCACATGTTCACAAATCAATACATCACTGGACACAATGAAATATGAACACGCACAAACACGCGCACACGTCCACTTACATTATGTGAGGCTTTTGCCACTTTTTGAACCGATATTTTTATCTCTCTCGAGGGCAGGAAAAAATAACTCGCTAAAGAAAAAAACAACAACATGAATAAGGAAAGAAGGGAGAGTGGGCTTTCATGTTCCTCTGTGGTCTGTGTTCAATAGTGCTCTTGTGACAAACGTCAATAGCGCTTTCAAATTTTCACACACACATGACACAATCACACCTTTATATGAGCCAATTTTTTAAAAGCACTAAGAGCTCCACACTTTAGTCACCACAACAAAAGTGTCACCGCCACAACTAGATGTGCCACACCCAGAGAACCTGCAGAAAGCCCGAACAAAATTACAATCCTGTCTGTCAGAACTCCCCAGAGAAACAGACCGTTACTGAAAGGCCTTTCCTAAAAGTAAAGCACAGGGAAACAGAAGAACAAATACAGACAGCTGCTTACACATATGTGACCCTGGACCACAAAATCAGTCATAAGGGTCAAAATTGAGATGTATACATCATCTGAATAAAGCTGAATAAATAAGCTTTCCATTGATATATGGTTTGTTAGAATAGGACGATATTTGGCCGAGATACAACTATCTGAAAACCTGGAATCTGAGGGTGCAAAAAAATCTAAATATTGAGAAAATTGCGTTTAAAGTTGTCCAAATGAAGTTCTTAGCAATGCATAGTACTAATCAAAAATTAAGTTTGAATATATTTACCGTAGGAAATTTACAAAATATCTACATGGAACATGATCTTTACTTAATATCCTATTGATTTTTGGCATAAAAGAAAAATCTATAATTTTGACCCATACAATGTATTTTTGGCTATTCCTACAAATATACCCCAGTGACTTAAGACTGGTTTTGTGGTGCAGGGTCACATATCAACTTTAATTCAAATAATATAAAAAAATATACATAAACTTAAGCAAGGCATGTTGTCACACTATAAGGAGTGAGCTGCCACAATGAGAACTTTGACACAGGTTTGCAAAAATATATTCCACAAAAAATATATTCCATGTATTTAAAATGTAAAATACTGTAGACTATTTAAAGGCTTATCAGCAAAACAAATATGAAATGTGATGAAACTGCAAAATTTGAAAGGGTAATACAAAATGACCATTATTTTGACTCAAAACATAAATTGTAAATAAAAATGACAACTTCTCTGAATGTACACTATATGGTTTTATTGTTGTACCCAACAGCTATAGCAAAATATGATGATACACATTTTAGTTTGGAAGACCAAAAAATATATATATATATATATTTGAAAAAGGCATCTGAAACCAATAAACAAGCAGGATGCAGTTATTGTTAAAGTGATATAGCTCTACAGCCTTAATAACATAAAATCAACATTTATTTATTGTTGTTTTCATATAAGAAGGATATTATGTAATATGTAATTTAGTTGTCTAAGTAGTGTGAAAGTTGTAAGAACTATTTTAATTAAACTTTTATGGTGCTTTCAAAAGCTTGAAAATCCCCTTTCATTGAAATTACATAGAAAAGAGTACCAAGCACTTTTCCTATCTTCAAAATTTCTTTATGTTCCATTGAAGAACATCCAGGAACATTCGGAAGTCATTTGGGTTTGGAACGACATGAGGGTGAGTAAATGAGAAAATTCATTTTTTGAGTGAACTACCCCTTTAACTACACAGTACAGGAGTCTCTGCTTACAGTACTTTTATGGTGAAGTTATAACTTCCATTATATAACCATAAAACGGAGTGAAAACTCCAGGTGGAATGACACTGTTGGGATTGCACACTGTAGGGCTGCTGTTAGCTGACTCTTTCAGCACTACTTCAACTCAACCTCAATAATTTAAATGACATCTGAAAATAGAAGTGATGTTGTAACAGCTCAAATAATGACAAAGATGATGGAAGTGGGAAAAAAAACATTCGTCGTGACTTTGACATTATTCGTTTATGTAAGCGCACAGTTTCTCCACATCAAATCCTGACGCAATGGCAGACCTCCGAAACGCTGGCCAAAGCCTACAGTAATCTTCAAATAGAGGAGCTCAGTGTTTTAAAGCATGAGCCACCATGTAATGTCAATAAAGTTCAGTCATGGGTGACTGTCCACATTTAAATATATAGAGCTCTTTTGTCGACATTTCAACGAGTGGGTTCATTTTGATTACTGAATACTTTCACACACTAATGCATGTACGCATACACAGTCTCAAGGTGAAAGAGGAGGAACCATTAGGAACTAAATAGCCTATACTCTGACTTCAATATGGAAGAGCTTTTAGGGCAGGAAATGCGAATCAGACAAGCAAACAAGCGGTAAGACAAGGAAGATAGAGAAAAGGATAAGACCCGAGATATTTAATGGGCACTAGATGTTGTTCACACGGAGTTCAAGGTCAGACGGTGAGCGAGAGACAGCAAGAGGACAGACAGGGAAAGAGAAAGAGAGAAATCACATGAAAACGTCAAGAATAAGCGTTTTAATCTATCTCCTGTAAGGAAAAAAAAATTCCCTTTGAACTCGGAGTCTTTAATTCCAGCCGCTCCATCCAGGGGAAAAAAAAGAGGGAAGGGAAAATGAAAAAAGAGTCTCGCACTCAGTCCAAAATAAATCCACAGTGGAAAAATCTCAGCATGGCATGTTTTCACACTTTCAGCTTCAACTTTTAAAATATAAGATATTCCAGGCCTTTAACTAACACTTTCAGGCTGGATTTAAGAGTGTAAGGTGAAATTTGTTACGTTCTAGATTCATAGCTAATTTTACACATTTAAATAGATAGTTTATCCAAAATGAAAAGTAGGTTATCATTTACTCATCCTCATGTCATTCCAAACCTGTATGAAATCCGTAAGACCCCACTGACATACAAAAACAAACAAAATATCGTCTTTTGTGTTCCACAGGAAGTCAAACGGGCATTTTTGGATGAACTATCCCTTTTGGAGCAACTAAAAATGATCTTTGTAAAAACATCCACTGTACTACGATGAAACATTTCTAATTTATAAGTTGTTTGCAATTTTGTCACAACAGACAGCCTAATTTGAATGGAAGACTACACTTTTTTTGCTACCAATTGGTTTAGTAACAGAGTTAACCAGCAGAAGATAACTGGACAATGCTAACTAACCAAACCTTGGCCCCTTGTCTATTTTCCAGCACTTCTGAACAATATTTTGTTTGTTTGAACAGCCTAGCATGTCAACATTTGGCTCAACCAATGGCGCGAGTTGGGGGTTAGGCCAGATGGCTTAGGGGCCATTCACACAGAACATATTTTTGCTTTTTAATATGCAAGAAGCAGGGTAGTGGAAAAAATAAAACATTTTTAGAATGCTGCTTTATGTGCAAGATGCTGCAAAAGACTAGAGAGCAGCAGTGAAACACGTCCATCTTACGAATACCATGGGAGAAGAATGAAAAAAAAAAACACATTCTGTGTTTAACGGCCCCTTAGAAATGCCAGATGTGGACAGTAAGAGCATTTGGAAAACCTGTTTGGAAATAATAATTACTTTCCTGATTCTGATTTGTCCTGCTAGTGGAGCAGAAAAAAAACACATTTTTTATTTTCTTTAGAAATATACCAGCTGTAGCTTTGGCAGTGAATGAGTTAAACCATACACAGTCAGTGCAGATAACCAAACACTTAATAGCAGTGGTGAAATTATTACAAGGTGGCGACAATAGGGGAAAATAGAAGAATAGAGAGCACCATGGGAAAGACAGACAGAGAAATATCAAATTGAGTTTACAAGCCAGGAAACTGTACTTAGATGGAATTTGACTTGTCAAATTGCTCCCAAGATCACAATAAACATACCTGTATACACAAAAAGAATACAAAATGTGAAATATAAAGGTAGATAGAAAAAAAGCATATTGAATATGGTTTAGTAATGGAAAATATTACATCAAAAGCAACATACAATATGCTGTAAATTGCTCAAATATGCAGCTCTATAGCTTGCACAGTGCACATACTCAAGGTTCCTGCAGGGTCATTGGATAAAATAAGAAGTTTATGGATTGGAGGACCTTCATGTGCCCTGGATAAATGCAGAAGGTGCTGAATTCCAGTAGCAAATGCTAGCCTACAATAACAACAACAGCAAGCGTTTAGCAGGGATGTTGTACGGCTGTTAATGAGGGTTGCTGTTCTTGTTCATGGTTATTTTTGTGTTTATGGTTACGAAAGTATTTCAAAGAGGTGATGACTCGTGTGTGAAGGCGTATTGTTGGACCTTGTAGATGTCCTGGAGCTAAGGTGGGCCGCATTGATTGTATTTTTTTTTATCTTCTTAAGGGGTACACCATCTGTTCCATCTGTGCCATTTTTTTATTGTTGGTCTATATACATAAGAAGAAGATAGACATTTTTAGCCTGTCTTGCTGGTTATTTACACTTTTCATTACCGGATGAAAAAATTTAATCACTTTACAATAAGGTTAATATTAGGTCATCTGTTTTTTAATATAGGTTAATGTTTTAATATACTTTTGTCTATACTTGATTCATTTTTTGTGTAATACATGTTCTAATGCTAATTTAATACAACCTAAATATAAAAAAATGTATTGGTATAAACACAAATTAACTACCATATAAAAGTCTGCGGTCAGTATTTATTCATTTATATTTTTATTTATTTATTGAATGAATGAATGAAATTATTACTTATTCAGCAAGTACACATTAAATGGATCAAAAGTGAAGGTAAATACATTTATAATGTACAAAAGATTTCCATTTCAAATAAATGCTGTTTTGAACTTTCTTTTTATGAATGTCCTGAAAAAAATGCATCACAGTTTAAACTAAAATATTAGGCAGAATGTCTATTGTCAACATTGATAATCAGAAGAAATGTTTCTTAAGCACCAAATCGGCATATCAGAATGACTTCTGAGCACTGAAGTCACTGAAAATAAAAATACATTTAAAATAGGAAAGTTTTTTAAATTGTTATATTTTACAATATTACTGTTTTTACTATCTATATATGAAATAAATGCAGCCTTTTTGAGTATACGAGACGTTCTCCAAAAATATTTTTTAAAACTTTTCAAAACTTTTGAAAGCTAATGTAAATTGTTAAAGATATTGTAACTGTGCTGTTTTCTGTTGCCTTTTGCATTACCTAATGAATTACTTAGAAGGGAGGAAGGACAATCATCTTTACAGTGCCTACTTTGAACTGAAGTGCAACTGAACTGTTAGTTCAGTGTATTCCTGTGTAGTGACTGACCTGCACTAAACTGTTATGAACGAAGTGCACCTAAAGACTATTGTGCAGAAGCTTATGGCAGGCTGAATTTCTCCAACTGTCACTTAAAATACATCCTCTATGGATCCTTCTTTATAACAGTATCACTGTTTGCTTCCCTCTTAAGGGCGCTCTTAAGGACTCAACGGTGTTGACAGCTGAGCCACTGATGTTCAGGGTTGTGGGGGTTTGTGTGTCCTTCTTTAAGTCCACAATCTTCACTGCAGGCTTCAGAGCAGTCAGCTTCAGGTTATTGTGTCACCACCAAGACACCAGCTGCTCAACATCCTGTCCACAGGCAGATCTGTTGCTGCTGCTTATGAGGCCACACTCTTAAAAATAAATTACAATTAGAGCCCAGCCTGATGCCACTGGAGAAACTTAAGATACACAAAGAACGTTTTAGTTCTTTAGAATTAACTTCATCGTTCAAAAGTTTGGGTTAATTTTCAGTGGCGCAATTTTCGGAAGGACACCTTTTGAAAATTTCCCCCTTCAGCTAACTGCTTAATTGTTGACTCGTCCTGAAAGATTATCATTCACACGTTTTAAAGTCTTGCCAGTTTAGCATTCAAACTATTTTAAAACATTAAAGCATGAGAAGACACAAAAGGAAACCCAAAGAGTGCACGCACAGACAGCACTGGTTCAGACTGCGTGTCATTACCATGAGGTCTTAAAGTGACAGCAGCTTAATATACCTGTTTGTGTCATTCATGTTTTTCAAAGAACAACAAATAGAAAAGAAAAAAAAAACTCTGATCAAATCTGATCTCAACTGAATAACTTCTTGAGCTTATTTCATACCTGAATACTACTAGACCTACTTAAGAACTTAAAGCACTTTTTCTATTGTATTTATTTGTGCTATTGCTTGTAATTTGTTCATTTGTTCTTATTTTATTACTGACTATTTACTTGTCTTTTTTTTTTACTTTTTTTTTATTTAATTTTTTTATTAAAGTATAAGGTTACATCTCCTTTTTACATAAAAAAACCCCCCAACCAATGAAAACAATAACTTTTTTTATTGTCATGTGACACTGACGACTGGAGTCATAGCTGCTGAAAATTCAGCTTTGCCAATACAAGAATCAATTACATTTGAAAATAGATTAAACTAGAAAACTGCTATTTTAAATTGTAATAATAATTTACAATATTACTGTTTTTGCTGTATTTCTATTCAAATAAATGCAGCTTTGAAAGAATGAAAATGGGCTCCATGTTGCAACACTTTTTCAGTGCATTTAACACTTGGTTAAACTGGATTGTGGGTGATTAGTGTATATAATGCCAAAGTGTGCAATAAAAAACACTGACAGCCAATCAGAATCCACCCGACTTTGAAGAACGTGAGCATTTTAAGCAGCACATAACATAACTGCAGCTCATTCTTTTTAATAAACAGAATGTTTTTGTGCATTGGTGTAGACGCCGATACACAGCAGTTATCATTAAATTATTGTTCTTGGTGTGAACGGGACTTTAGTGAGAGGTAGTTGCAGCAGGACAAACTTGGTCAGTGTTTCACTCAATTGTTTTCATAACCATGAAAGTCTGAAACGTTTGTGACAAATGTCATGTGTGTTTGGTTGGAAAGCCTGATGACACTGTGGTCCAATCTATGATGCTCTGCTATGCTAGAGAACCAAAGAGCCAATTCAGTTATCACAATCAGGCAAAGCAGGAAGAGAAAACAGCAGCAAAAAAACGTTCAAATGAGAGAGGAATGGAGAGAGAGAGCTAGATGAAGGGAAGAGGAGTTTGTGTCTGCAGATCTGAAGTTCAAAGAGTAATCAAGAGGAAAGAGTGAACATGGAAATGAAATTTCATGCAGATAAGAGCAACAAGAAGACAGATTTCAGCACTCCTTTAAAAATCACATGCTTCAATTTAAAGTCCAACACAAGCCAAACTAGAAACGAATTATACCTGCACATAAACAGCTGTTTTTTTTATTTTTTTTTTATTTGCAAATTCAGTCTGTTTTTGGAAGTTTTCTGTAGGGAGACTGTTCATTGACATGGAGACAAGGAGCTAATCCCAGATTTGTTAGCAATGCAAATCCAGCATGTTCAAGCACAAAGAGGGATCTGAAAGCTGACAGGAAGGGAAACAAATATCTACAAATCTAGAAAAGTAAGAAACAGTTGGAATTGTGATTCAAAATACATTTAGGACTTTGTAAGACCTAAAACACTTATATTTTGTTATATTCCTCACACAAAGCTATAAAAAATAAAATAAAATAAAAGAGTTTGGAACAAAGGGTGAATAAATGATGTCAGAATTACAATTTTGGGGTAAATTTCCTTCAAACAACATAAATTTGAGCAGTGTAAATAGCAGGATTTTCTTAGTGTTATGCTGTTTACACTAAGTGCAAATAGCTAGATTCTATTTACACTATGTTAAAATAGCAGGATTTTCTGCTATTTATACTACTTATTGCAAATAGCGGCAATTTTCTGCACCTCACTATTGTAGTACATTATAAAACAGTATGCAATAATAACGTATTGACTGCAAATTATAATTTTAATTCAAATTATTAAATGGATGCCACCTTATTGGGACAATAAATCCCTCCCTACACCTACTCTAACCCTACCCGATACTAAAATCTAAAACTTATTGAAAATAAATCCCTTTTTGATGTGATATGAGATTTTAAAAGGGGAAAAAAAAAGTTTGGCAAAAGGCGGATTTGAACTCGGATCGAATTGTAGGGCGGAGTTAGTGTAAATAGCCTCTGCCAACAAGGCGGGTTATTTGCATTTAGTTTAAATAGGTATTCTGATCAATTTACCTGAGAAGCACAGCTATGTAAGATTTTCTGATTTTCTGAATTTAGTTTATTTTTCTAGTTTTAAGTCTAAATCCCTCTACATTGTTAGATTTATGCTTAACCAACTTGCGCTCTCCTCACAACCCCTGTGCTAGTCGTGGGTGGGTGTATTTTCATTGGACACACATGAGTATTTATCTCTCTCCTCTAGATCTCATTTCTTTGATAGAGTTACGCATTTCACGTACGAGTGGCCTTTGAAATGAAGACCGTGTCATAGGTGCCATGACAACCATTTGACTGACAGCTGGCAAGGTGAGCTATCCTCAGATGCTGCTGTGATGCTGACAGTAAAGCTTGATGAGCAGATGTGTCGACCCTGCTACTAACAATCCAAGAATGTGGAGCGTGGCGTCAACAACTGCAGGACGTGCCGGTTTCATTTAGAGAATCAATGAATGTCATAAAGCACATCATTGCCGCGGGGGCCAACTGATGCAATCGGTCTAAAGACACTGTAGACAGTGATTGATTCTCAATGCAAGCATGTGTGTGCGTGTTCTAAAGTGTACAGACGAGGTTTGCCTGACTTTTGACAGATTATAATGTTAGGAATACATTTACATAATGAATTTAAACAGGTTGGTGTCAATAGATATTGATGTTTTACATGATTAATTCAACTTAAAATGAAAATTGTGTCATCTTTTAGTCACCATCGTGTTGTTCAATACATGACTGATTTTCTTCTGTGGAAAACAAAAACAGACATTTTCAACAATGACTTTCAGAGAATAACAACTGAAATTTTGGTCTTTTCCTCACATGAGTGAGCCTTTCTCTTATTTTGGAGCTAGCTTGGCAGCTACAGTTCTCATTCACTCTAAATCTATTGAAAAGACAAATATATTATCGAAGAAAGCCATACAGGTTTGAAAAAACAAATAATAGAGGTCAGTAAATGATGACATAAGTGGCCTTTTTTAGACAAAACCATTTACATAATAAATTAGAGCAGGTTTATGTCAATATCCATTGATCTTTTTACAGAACAAGTCTCATAAATGTCAAAATGGCCACTTACACTCGATGGTTAGGAATGATCTTAAAGCCGTCTCTGAACCATGTGACCTGAGGGCGAGGGTAACTGGTCACGGCGGGAGGATTCAGGACAGCAGCTCTTCCCTGAGAGACCGTTTTCCTCTGTTCCAGTTCAGCAAAGTTATCCATGTCTAAGAGAGAGAAAGAAATGGATAAAGAGATGGAGAGGTGCAATTTACTGTAGTAAAAATGGCTACTACTTAGGGTTGTGCCGATAGACAATAGTATGGTGTAGCAATGATAATGAGAGATATCGCCTGTGGCTGATGACTTTGACAATATCAAAATGATTATTATTATTATTAGGCTAGTATTATTATCTAATTAATATTAGGGCTTAAGTTATTTATCCCATCATATTTCTTTTTACGGGTTTTTACAGTGTTGCACGTTATAACCAATCACACACAATTCTGTTGAGCTTATGAATGCAATGGCCAATCAGAAGCGTTCAGATGAGTCATCGCTGAAATACCGGAGTTTTGCAGTTCAGTGCTCGCTCAATAATTTGAAATACAAATTCAGTCTTATTTAAAATTTGACCCGACATGCATATATGCTACTTGACTAAAAAGATATATGTATTAAAAGGGTTAGTTCACCCAAAAATGAAAATTCTGTCATTAATTACTCACCTTCATGTCGTTCCAAACCTGTAAGACCTTCGTTCATCTTTGGAACACAAATTAATATATTTTTGATGAAATCTAAGAGCTCTCTGATCCTCCGTAGACAGCAAGGATACTATCACGATCAACGCACAGAAACGTAGCAAGGACATCGGTAAAATAGTCCATGTGACATCACGGGCTCAAACTTAATTTTACAAAGCTACGAGAGTACTTTTTGTGCTCAAAGAAAACAATAATAACATAATTTATTTAGCAATTCTTCTCCCCGAGTTACCGTCTTCCGCCATGTTAGAGAGTACTCCAGAACATAATCAGTGCTGTTTACGTTTTGCATTCGCACGCTTTCTACATGCTAAAAAATGCTGGGTTAAATACAACCCAGTGCTGGGTAAAATAGGGACAAACCCAGCAATTGGGTTGTTTTGACCCAACCATCTGGGTAGTAACCCAACCGCTGGGTCAAAACAACCCGATTGCTGGGTTTGTCCCTATTTTACCCAGCACTGGGATGTATTTAACCCAGCATTTTTTAGAGTGTACTGAATGTAAACAACGCTGATTACGGATCAGAGAGCTCTCAGATTTCATCAAAAATATCTTAATTTGTGTTCCGAAGATGAATGAAGATCTTACGGGTTTGAAACAACATGAGGGTGAGTAATTAATGACAGAATTTTCATTTTTGGGTGAACTAACCCTTTAATAGATTACACTCACATTAGGTTGCTTTTAGCCGTACCCTGGAGTTGGTTCACTCTCTGGCTATGAAATGAAGTAAGTAAATAATTAAATTAATTTGCACGATGATATCGTGTACTAGCAATCTCACAGGCTGACAATACGACGATATGACTATGGAGCATATCGCCCAACACAACTACTACTACTGCATGGCTTTTTGTGGCTTTTGCTGAAATACACTTGTATATGTGTCCCATACACCTGCTGTATTTCAAACTGTAAATAAAGTGTACGGGAGTGACAGCATATTTAGAAATTACTGGAGTGTTTCCTGAATGTCACTTTTAGTTCATCCCCTATGGGACTCCTGTACTACATGCATATGTGTGGGTTCTAGGTGAGTGTGGTGATGTGTGAAATCCATTTGTGCTTCAGCCTCCTGGACTCCCTTTCTAACAGCATACACATGAACTTACAAGCCACGCGAACATCGGCCCTCATCTGGATCAGCGCTCCCATCCTGTTTCTCACCGCGCACTGATATACACCCGCGTCCTCGCGCTTTAACGACGTAATCGTGTACCTGGAAGAGAGAAAGAGATCTGGGATTTACATGGTGCTTACTTGATGTTCTTGCTGTGCAGTACACACTATACTGCATGCTATGTCCTTTTGAGCGTGAAACAGAGCGCATTATGCAATGATAAATGTTTTAAACAGTAGTGTCCTACACTGTTGTCTCATTATAACCTCACTACACTGCATGTTTAATTCAGTGAGTCACTTCAAGTTATCAAACTTCTTTAATCCACTTTTGCATAAAAATGTCTTCACTGCTGGCAGTTTGATCCAATAATGAGCCAAGGAGGAAATAGGCTATAAAAAATTGGGGTTGTGCGGTTAATTCGTCATACTGTAATTAATAAGTCAAATCAAGTGAATTGCACTGTGGAATAATAAGTTTACCACACTATACGATTTTGTATACTGTTCACCATGTTATAGAATATACCGCAAAAATAGTACGAGTAGTATGATACTGTTATTTTGAGTGAATTCCAAGACTTGGCTCTTATATGACAGTCAAATATGTGTTATCAGTACTTGCAACATGATTTCTTCAACCTGTACAATAAACAGACAAGGAGTTTGAAAGTGAGCACTAATAAGTGCTTGGATTTATGAGCAGATGGATGCGAGTGTGTGCTGTTTAATGAGAAAGATTACAAGCCCACAGGGTCAGAGCTGCTCAAATCTGTGTTGATTCGGTTTTAACAGATGACTGTGCTTAATGCAGAAGTGATGGTTCACATGGATTGAATGTGGAATCAGCTGCACTGATAAAAACTCAACGCACTGTCATTTCTATAGACATCTCAACCATAAGGAAAAGATTCAGAGGAACACTGAAAAACATTACATTTTAATGTTACTGTCAGGATGAAATAGAAACAGAAGAAAGTTAAATCATACAGGTTTAATTATTATTAATATTATTTATATACGATTACAGTTTTATTTTATAGTTTTCAAATTAGTATTTATAGTATTAATCAGTTTTCAAATGCATTTGTTTAAATATGTTTTAGTAAGTTTGTTGTGTTTTTGTATATTTAGTTTAAGTATATTTAGTTTTCATTTATTTATTTTTTTATTTGTATTTACTTAGAATTCAACTTTAGTTACTTTAGTGTTTCCAATTTTTAACTAATATTTACTTTTTATTTTACTTCAGCTTCTTTTTAATTAACAAAATTGGTTTAATAGTATTGATTTTAGTTAACAATAAGGACAATTCAGTTTAGAACAATGTGAGGCAATTTTATTAAAGTTTTCATGGCAACATTTCAGCCAACAACTGATGGTAGCTATTGACTTCCATAATATGGCAAAATATACTATGAAAGTCAATGGCTACCATCAACTGTTTGGTTACACACGTTCTCCAAAATATCTTATCTTGTGTTGTTGAGCATTAAAAAGATAATTCATACCTGTTTGGAACAATGTAAATGATGACAGAATGTTCATTTTTGGGTGAACTACCCTTTTAAAGCCAAGTTTTATTTCTTTAAAAATGATGAAAATTGACATCATGGCTCATCTTGCTAACACTGTTCTTATTATACACCATTTCTTTATTATACACAACTCAGAGGTCACTGTAATAATAATGTCTCCAAAACACGAGGGGTCAAATATGGATGACCAGACAAGAGAAAGAGACCAAAGAAGGGAACAGGACAAATGAGATCCCAAAGGACTCGGCACTGTCTATATTATTTTATACTGTAGCACTATTTTGTGCAGTACAATCCAGAATCCAATGACCTCGGTACATGGGTGCCAGTTAAGATAATGGTTACTTATACCAAAATAGTGCAACAAACTACTTTAAAAATCCCATGAAATAAAAATGTGAGATTTGTGAATTGGGGGTTTAATGTTTTGCTGTTTTATGCAGACTTCATGATCTTGAATAGCTCCTCAAAGATCAGATGTTACAGCCCATTTTAGTGTGATTAATGATCTTGCTTCAGAAGGAGTTTCCCTGTTGCATGGTTTTGGATAAGAGATATAAACAGCTAAATCAATTAAATATTTAAGTCTAAACGTGCAGACACAATATGTGTTGATTATTACCTGTACTCTGGTGTGTATTCAGTGATATCCGAGCTGTTTCTCATCCATTTGTACTGCAGCGGCCAGCTGCCCTCAGCCAGACAGGTGAGCACGAGTCTGTTCCCCTCCAGGTGTGTCTGTGCACCCCCTGCCTCGGTTTTAAAGTACGGAGCGATGTCTGTGAAGAGAACATCAATAACAGAATGAAAACCCATGCTTAATTTTGATATAACGAACAGTTAAACTTCCCCAAATGTGCAAAGATGTCTAATTATGATGCATGAATAAAAGCACACTGAGCGTAAGAATAAAGTGCTGACCATGATATTTCAAATGGTCCAGGCCCACCATACTGGCCAAATATTACTCTGATTAATGGCCGATATATCACCCAGGCTGATTCACCAGCCAATATTTGGTCATTTCGAAACTGATAACTGTGCCCGAGTACACATTTAGAGTACTTCTCATTATATGAGGGAATATATATATATATATAAATATGTGTGTGTGTGTGTGTGTATCTATATGTAAATAGATACATGCATATACATTAGATTTTCCTGTTGTTTTTGAAAGAAGTTTTCTTATTATGATTTAAAATAAATATTTTCTATTTCAATATATTGTAACGTTTATTATTATTTATTAGCTCTAAAAAGGGGAATATTTATGACGAATTATAACTGGTTATGATTCATAATAAATATTTAGATTATATCTTCGAATTAACTGTAGCAGAATCAATATTACAATTATTTGATCTGTCCGTCCACCGAGCAGACAATATAATCATTTATCAATTCAAGGAATATTTATTTTCTGGCCACGGAACAATAAACTGTCCTTCTTTGTGCAGTGCTAGCAGTAATTCTTAGCCAAATGTAGCAAGGGTTCAAACATTCATTGACTTGGAACTGTGAACAGTAAACAGAGACAATTCGTTGTGAATATAAGGGATTTAATAAAATGAAACTATATCTAACATATAACTAACTAAAACATATATATATACAGAATGAAACAAAGTAAGGAAAAGATAGAGAATAGGAAAAGAATGGCAGTATTTCACATCACTTAACCACAACCATGGAAAATCACCAAAGAATCCAAAAATCCTATAGGCTAAAATAAAGAAATGTCTTTATGTGTGTGTGTGTGTTAGTTTGGGTGTGTGTGTGTGTGTGTTCGTTTGGCCATTTACAGCTTTTTGTGGAATGTGTTTGAAATCAGATTGCAGGATGCTCGTGGGGCTGGTTCTAATCTTACTTGACGGCGAAGAACCATTTGGCAATTTACACCCCTATACGAACGTAAAGTTCCTGACCAGAACTGTAATTTATATGCAAATGTCAAAAGGCTAAAAGGGGTCTTTTAAGCCATAAACAGTCCAACTATCATGCATGATCCTACGCAGACGCTACATATTTTAGAATGTAATTTATTCCTGTGATGCAAAGCTGTCTTCAGTGTCACATGATCCTTCAGAAATGATTCTAATATGCTGACATGCTGCTCAAGAAACGTTTATTTTATAACATTTATAACATTGTTTAATATTTTGTGGGAATTGCGATACTTTTTTAGGACTCTTTGATGAAAAGGAAGTTCAAACAGCACTTTCTTTCTTTCTTTTATTTATTTAGGTGACAATGTAAAAGTCTTTACTGTCAATTTAATGCATTCTTGCAGATTAAAAGTATATAATTTTCCTCCAAAGAGTCAGGATGCTCAGACAAAAAGGAATACATTTTAATAGTGACTTTGTGCTGTGTTTACACTTTTCAAGGATCAACCAACAAATGGCTTTCATCTGCACTTTACACTTAAATATGAGAAAGTAAAAAATACACACTTCACCTTTAAGTCATCAACTGAAATGGCTGACGATTTCTATATTAGGCTTTCTGGTGCCCCCTCTTAACACAGTTTTACGTATTGTTGGGCTGTAGCAAAAACATTTAGGCCATAATAAAAATGAAATATACTTCTGAAAAAATCTGCAAATACACACTTGCCCCTAGACACCCAGTTAATGTGAAAGGAAAGACTGGTATTTGTCAAAAGAATAAGTCACCTTCATGTCAGTATTGCACAGTCAAATTCAGACCAATTTACATAATACACATTCACCCAATAAAAAGTATCTCAAAGGGACTTTCACTCAAGTGCTTTGTGGAAAACTTGTTTCAAAGCCTTTGTGTATCGTGAATCTAATCTCTCCATCTATAGTCAGAATGGCTTCAGATGGCATCACTAATACTGAGGAACTGAGTGAAGAACATCCAGCCAGTAGAAACCAGTCAGGAAGGCATGTGACCTGAGATGAGACTGATAAAATTAGCTCTCCCGCACTCTCTAAATGTGTGGAAGCTGGTATGCAATTCACACTATATGAAACAGTAAGTTAATAAAAGCTAAAAACATTCCATTCGGTCTTTGGTCATACTAACCTGAATACAAGAAATACTGTCAGCTCTGTTGCATAAAACAGCGATCGATTTGGAATGTTTTTCAAGAAGCGTGACGTGAAGCGCACACAAAAGACAACTTACAGTTGATTCCAACAGAATTTGATGATTGTATTTCAAGTTAACAACATGGTACTTTTTGACTCCAGCATGTGGCTAAGCTAACAATGTGATACTTGAGTAAAACAGTCAGTAGGAGGAGCGCGGGGCACAAAGTAACGCGGGGTTAGTTGTAACACACTTGGTTTGAATATTTCCACACATGCAAGCATAACAAAATTTACAGTATTTATTAGTTACCATATCAACATTATATAGAAAAAAAGTGCGCCAAAATTAAAAAGATATCAATGCACAATTTGTACAGTGTCCCAACTTTTTTGGAATCGGGTTTGTATTTTACCATAGTAAAATTAAAATTCTGGCTTAAAATTTTTGATCTCTGTTTTTATTAATCCTTTAAAATTAGACCGATCTGCTATTATTTTAATCTCCAATCTGTTATTTATCAGTTTAGATTTTGTGTGTGTTTTTTTTTTTTTTAATGCTTCGCTAACTAGCAGAAGACGACAACTGGTTTTAAACTCCAGTTTTTATTCACAATTTGTACAGTGTCCCAACTTTTTTGGAATCGGGTTTGTATTTTACCATAGTAAAATTAAAATTCTGGCTTAAAATTTTTGATCTCTGTTTTTATTAATCCTTTAAAATTAGACCGATCTGCTATTATTTTAATCTCCAATCTGTTATTTATCAGTTTAGATTTTGTGTGTGTTTTATTTTTATTTTTTTTAATGCTTCGCTAACTAGCAGAAGACAACAACTGGTTTTAAACTCCAGTTGCGCAGATGGGGCACATTGTAACAGCGTTACAATGTGCTATTCTATGACAGTAGCGATGTAATTTACACTATTTCCTTTAATGAATTTTAATGAGAAACAGGTGAATAAAGACTGACAGTCAATGTTTAATGTTTAGAAATTATTTCAAGACATGTAAAGCATTTTTGCTCGTTTATGTGGGCCGTCCCAAGCACGATTTCAATGTGTTCATTGTCAAACTCCAAAATCAGATTATTTTTCATTAAAAAACGCCATTATTTTATTAGAATTTTTTTTTTATTTTATTAACAAAATATTTTAGTTTGTCTTGTATATTTCTTTCATTCGATCAGATACGATTTTAAGCTGTTATATGGTCATGTTACAACGTGCCCCTCAGATGTTACAATGTACCCCACCTACGGGGCATGTTGTCACATTTCACTTGAAAAACGTATACACTGTAATCATGAAACAAAGCGACATATTTGTACTAGACAAGTGTAAAATTACTGTGGATAAAAAAATATATTCCGAACCCCATGTGGATTTACACAAACTGAGAAAGTCAAAAAGTGTTACTTTGTGCCCCGCTCTCCTCTAGTTCAATTTCATATGAAATATTTTTGTTAATTATTTTTTTGAAATTCTGGCAAATATCAGTAACACAATATTTTCATTTACAAATTTCATGTGACAGTCAATAACCAATACATAGCTGATATTATAAATCCATACTGCTTTGTTAAGTAAAATATCTTTTTACTCCACTATATTTATTCACAGCTTGTTTGATTGAGTTCTGTAATTGCATTGTATGTTATGTATGTACGCATGATGCTGCCTTAGGATTTAGGCAAAAAAAGGTATCTTAGAAGGCAGCAAGATATTTCTGCGTAGCTTTGGCACAGTCTTCTTGTCTGGTGTGTTGCCCAGGTCAACATTCAAATGAAACATTCTTACTGTCTCTGCTGGAACTTCAGTCTGTTATTGTGAAGCTAAAGGCCAATGGCTCAGTGGCTCCCATCACACTTGTTAGTAAATTACTCGCCATTTAGCAAACGCTTTCATCCAAAAAAAGACTAATTCAGAAACAGCCCTCCTGCAGCCACTAAGTGCTTTGCTTAAATGCACAAAGGTGAGAGAATAGAAATGTGAAGTATTAACTCTTAACAAGATCTTAGCATTTTCTAAAGAAAACATGAGTGATTTTTGCCTGTCAGTAAATGTTACGGAGCGAGTTTTTACATTTAAATGTAATATTTAATACGATAATTCAGATTAAAATAATTTTAATATTTTCTGGGATAAAGTAATATATATATATATAATTAAATTTAACAAATAAATTCAGGAAACGTAACAATTAAGTAAAATTCTTGAAAAAAAACACCTTAAGTAGTTTGGCATAATCTTTTACATTTAAATAATTCAGTAATTTTTATAAATAATTTTAAAATAATTTGAACAAAACTGTTTATTAGTTGTTTTTTTAAAACTGAAACTAAAAACATTTTATTACTTGAAATTTCTCAGTAGTTTAAGTGCATAAAATAACTAAAACTAAATAAACTAAAACTTAATAAATACTATATAGACATTTAAAAAAACAAAAACAAATGACTAAAATCTTACATTTAAAATGAAAACAGAAAATATACAAATAAATTCAAATTAAAAATACTGAAAAAAAATACAATATCATATTAATGATACTAAAATAACTGTTGCAAAAATTTGAAGGGGGAAGAAACAGGAAATGCGATGTCAATAAGTACCAGATAATTAGACCTATTTATGAGACAGAGTTAATTTAGGATGCATTCAGATTCATTTTTAATCTGTCATCTTGACAGAAGTTAGATTTTTAATAGATTTAACACTC